GAAGCTGTTGGGGCAGGCCTACATTCCGCTGGAGGCGAAATTCGGCAAGAGGCCGTGCACATGGCCGATAGCGTGCACGGGGGCCTCCGTGGACACCGGATACCTCACGTGCAAGTTCACCCTCGCGGGCACACCAGGACGCTTGCTCGCTCTCTTGTTTGGCGGGGGCGCACTCCGAGTCGGACGCAAGTGGGGGGGACGGAAAGGGCTGGCAGGGTACAGCATTTGCTGCGTCCACTCTCGTCGTGCTCCCCATGGTCCGAATACACACCCGTCCGCCGACTTACGAGGCGCTGCGATGCTGCGAGCGTTTGAGACATCTCCCAGGACCGACCACAACGCCGTTTAGCTCGGTTTGGACCCTGGTTTGGTTTTTCGTTTCGTTTTCCGTTCTCGTTTCGTTTTCCGCTGTTGTTCGAAGCGCTCCGTTTCGTAGTTCCTTTGCGTTTGGCACCGGCCTCGTTTCAAGCGCTCGTGTGAAACACGTTGGCCTTCGTTTCGTTGCTCGTTCTGGACGCTGCTTCGGTTTAAGCATCGTTGTGGTTGGCCCTTGGACACCTCACGCAGTCGTTTGGCTTGGCACCGCTCGGACGTGTGCATGTTTCCTTCGGCGAGGACCATCGCCTTGATCATTTGGCGAAAAAGCCACGCACGACACCGAAAAAAGCACAGGGAACGGACGTCCGAGCGATGGCGATGGCAACGGCCTCGTCTCAAGCGCTCGTGTGAAACACGTTGGCCTTCGATTCGTTGCTCGTTCTGGACGCTGGTTCGTTTTAAGCGTCGTTGTGGGGCCTTCGTTTCGTTGTTCGTTCTGGACGCTGGCTCGTGTTAAGCATCGTTGTGGTCGGCCCTCGGACACCTCACGCAGTCGTTTGGAGGCGCCCTCGACCGGCCGCCCCGGCACAGCGGCAGGCCCCGTGCGCAACCTCCGGGTGGCCGACGGCGGCGCGGGGGCCACCGAGGTGAGCCTGGCGTGGGAGCCGCCGAGGACGCCGCCGGCGGAGGGGGCCGGGCCAGGAGGAGGAGGGGGAGGAGGAGGAGGAGGAGGAGGAGGAGGAGGAGGAGGAGGAGGAGGGAGGAGGAGGAGGAGGAGGAGGAGGGGGAGGAGGAGGAGGAGGAGGAGGAGGAGGAGGAGGAGGGGGGCGGGCCACAGGATCGGTGGGTCAACGATGGGTCTCTGAGGGGCTCAGGAGGGGAAAAGGCACGCAGACACAAGGAAACGCCGATCCCCAGGAACAGATGAGAAAACATGGGAAGGGAAGGGGAGGACGAACATCCACAAGATACGGAAGCTGTGTATTGGGGATCTTGGGGTTCGTGTCCATTCATTTGTCTGTCCCTGGGCCCCTTTAGGGATGAGGTCCTGAGGACAGGGTGCCTCAAACTATGTAGTTGCACCCTTGGCCTTCTTCCTATCGTAGGACCCCATTCCTCAGGACCCCATCCTTGAACCACCGAGAGGAGAGAGGCCCTCCTGTCAGGGGCAGTGTTAGGGGGGGGGGGGGGGAGGCTCGAAGAACAAGAAGCAACTGCATAAACAGGACCTTTCGCCCGTCCGCGCGGACTTCTTGGATCCGCGCTCGGTCTCCCTGGCGGCGCCCCTCTGGTGCCGCCCCGGCGCGCTCCGCGCGTCATGGAGGGGCATCTAGCCCAGATCCAGCAAGTCCGCGCGGATCTCCCAAAGCGCGTGTTTATGCCGTTTTTTTTTCTCGCTCTAGAAGTACATTAGCAACGCGCCTCAACCGGCCGTCTGCTTTTCGCCAGGGTACCCCTGGGCTTCCTCGCTCCGCGCGCTGCGCGGTGATGTGCCGCGGCCTCTGAAGGAGCTGCTGCGTTCAGGGCGCGTGGGGCTTCCCCCCCCTCCTTGCACCTCGCGCCTGCGAGTTTTCAGGACTGGGTCTCTTCCTGCGAGGGGTTCCTGCGGCCGCGTTCGCACCGTAAGCTCCGGGGGGGGGGGGGGGGGGGGCATCGACCCCCCAGCGCTCAAAGATCGCCGACAAGGGCTCGATAGCCCTCCCCGCCCAGGGCCGTGCGGTCGCCTCCGTGCGCGGCCTTCGCTGTCGGGAGCCTATATGCCCGATCGATCGGAGATGTAGCGCCGAGTCCACGTCGATCTGTCCCCCATAGAGCCAGTCCCCCTCCCGCGTTGCTCCTCACCTCCTCATCCTCAGTCTCTTTGTCCCACTCCACCTCCTCATCCTCCTCCACGCTCCATCTCACCCTCCTCCTCCTGGCTCCTCCTTCTTCTTCATATTCCTCCTCCTCCTCCGTCTCCGCCTCTTTTTCCGCCCCGTGGGAGCCGCCGAGGGCTGGCGGGGCGGGGGGGGGGAGCAGGTCGAGGACCGCGGTTCGACGATCGACTTTTTGTTGCCAGGAGTCGGTTCTTGTCATTTCACATGCTTGGCTATGCGAGTTATCAGTGCTATCAGTGGTTAGGCCAGATTTCACAGGGTTGTTGACAGTTGTCACTGTTTTTAGTGGTGTCCTTCTTTTTGGG